GGGCTCAAGTCCATGTGGAGACCCAATGCCACAGGACAAGCACATTTGAGGGAGTCTAGTGCCTCTACAATGCTTAACTCCCAAATGTGCTCCAGCCCTTAGGACTTAGTGATACTGGTCAAGAGTGAGCTTCCAAGCCATCATGCATTTCAGACCCTTGTCCCCGAACTGCCCTGTGCAGATATATGACATTTCATCATTTTGCAGAACCCAAATTGCATAGAACTGAAAAAGACCTTAAGAGCCAAGTGGTCTACCTATCCCAAGTGCTACTAAATATCTGGAGAAGAGTCACAGGTCCATACCTGAGTCCATCCACATCCAGGAACTCCTGGGCAAAGGCTGGTTATTCCACATGGAGCTTCTCTGACTGCTATAAAGTTCTCCCTTCAGTTTGGCCAATGGGCGCCCCTGCTGAGTCCAAACAGTTACCTTTGTGGTTGTTCATTCATGCACACAGTTGAAGACATTTACTCATAGCTTAATATTGCCAGGTCCTGGACTGATGGACCATAAATGTAATCCTGCTTCCAGAAGGGACACCAGACAGTTGCTTCAGCTATTCCTCCATGGCACCGTCTCAGGTTCCCTCATCCCCTCATCTCTCCACTGGGCTTGCATTAACTGGTTATGTCCGCCTGCAAGTGTCTGTGCAGAATTGATGTTGGAATCAGTTCAAAACAAAATAAATAAGCCCTCTTTCACAATCTATTTTAGAAAACCCAGCCTACATTTGGGTAGTCATGTCACCCTATGCCATGTCCTGTCAATATGAGGGAAAATACTTTAAGAGTAGACGTTTGGGAGTCAGTACTGGAACACTCACAGTTCACTCTCTTGCCTTAGGTGAGCTAGGTAAACTGTTCAATCTGAGTGTCAGGACTTTTTATTTTTAATTTGTATCATGAGGATGACTGGAAGGCATAAGGAGACAATGCATTTGAGGTGTTCAGCGCAGTGTCTGCCCCTTAGCTCATTAAATGCTGAATATTCTACATGTCATGGTGGCCACCTCCAAAACCCCAAAGTGCTTCTCACACGTGCATTTGCTTGGTTGAGCTCCCCGGTGTTTTCAACATGAAGCAGATCCTAACATCATCAAGCCCCAGTAAGTTTGTTAAACTTGGCCCATCCCTTCATGCTGCCCTTTGGGATCCTGAACTTGTCATGTTACCTATTGTCCTTTCAGCCCACAGCATCTGCAGTTGTCTTCAGTGTACTTTCCACGCCCTGCTGAATAAGGTATGAATAAGTAAGGTCAAGGGCAGAGGCCTGGAGTCTGTCCCTGGGACATCCCTTCCAGATGGGTGTTGATCTTTTAATTGGCCATGCTCACTCAACTAGTCATGACCTTGGAAATCCCAAGACTGTTTGATGAAGTCCTCTCAAAACAAAATTCTGGCTACCATTTTGTATTATTTTCTTTGGGGAACATGCTATGTATCTGTGAAACAGGAAAAATGAACTTCTATTTCTTTTTTTCATAAAGGTCTTACATTTCACATGCTTCCTGCATATGTCTGTAATTCAACACGTGCTGGCACAAATCATAATCAAGTAATTTATGACTTGCCTTGCCCGAATAATATTTTGTAAAGAATGTTTATGACAAAAATGAATGAAGCTGTTTTGCTTTATAAAATTAGCTTAAAATGAAAATTACAAGACAGAAGAGTCCGCATGGTTCTTTCTGTATAGAACGAACTTGGGCTGCTTTTTAAAATAAAATCAAAAGAACATTAAATATTATTGAAAAGTTAGCATGAGCCATTACATCTTCAACATAAAGGCTTTCAGATTGGTCAGAGGAAGACCATCAGCCTTGTTTAAAGATGTCTGCCCGCCAGTGAGAGAAGGCGGCACGGAGCCCAGGGCTCTAGGTACACGGGCTGCTGGGTCATGGCTGGCCTTTTGGGCAGTGGGCAGTGTAAGAAGTTTGGATTGGCCAGAGGATCCTAGAAAATATACTTATCCACGGTGTGTAAGCAGAAGTCTCATACGGCCCCCAAGATTTCCATCCCCTGGTGCACACGCCCTACATAATCCTCTCTACTGGAGTGCAAGAGGATCTGTGAATAGGATGGGGTATGAACCCATGATTAATTTTCCATGACAAAATAAATTCTTCAGATGCAGTTAAGGCCCTAATCTGTTGACTTTGGGTTAGTAAATGAGAAAAATTATCCTGGGTGGGCCTGGTTTACTCAGGCAAACCTTTCAAAGAAGGCAGAGAGATGCACAGTGCACATCTCCCGCTAGCCTTGAAGGAGAAACTGCCTTGCTGTGGAGAGGGCCATGTGACGAGGACCTGAGGTGGCCTCTTACAAGTGGAGAGTGGTCCCTGGATGACAGTTAGTTAGGAAATGGGACGTCAGTCCTACAATCGCAAGGAACTAACTTCTGCCCACCATCAGTGGAAAAGGACCCCGGCCTCAGGTGAGACCGCAGTCCTGGCTGACTTCCGGATTTCACCTTGGCGAGACCCTGAGCCAAGGACCCAGTTACGTTGTGCCTGGACTCCTGCCCCACAAAACTGTGAGGTAATAGATGTGTGTTGCTCCACGCTGAGGAGTTTGTGGTCATTTGTTACTCTGCAGTAGATAACTAATCCGCACAGGGACCAGTGAACTGCAGTGAGGAGAGCTGCTCTCTGAGAGTGTAATTCAGGATGACCCAGAGTAAATTGGTTTCCCACACGGTCGATTTCCATGTGGCCACAGAAATCACTTTATGGGATTGAGATTTCACCCTGAACATTCCACGGCTGGACACAGGTCACTGTTTCTTCCACTGCAGTGGCTCTCAGCCTTAGCAGGCGTCAGAATCACCTGGAAGGCTTGCTAGAGCGGACGGCTGGGGCCCACCCCCAGAGCTGTGGCTTCAGGTCTGGCAGGCTCGGTCTGGGGACCACACGCAGAGAACCACTGCTCTGTGATAAATACGGAGGTCCCAGTTATTTTTAATATTGATTTCTAGATCCAACCTTTTTCTCACTTGACATGAAAACACTTGCACAAGGTTTTTTTAAACCAAGGTTAAGATAAAGAGAAGGAATTGAGCCTGATATCCCTTTGATGAGTCCAGTGTTTGCTTTGCTCTCATCATCTGAGAACTGCTATTTGGGAGGAGTGATGAGACACCCATTAAATCAGGTTTTTGAAAAGCTACGTTGTTCTTTTTCCACAGTGAAAGGTCCACTGGGGGGCCCGCATTTTCCCTATTTGCCATCACCTTCCCAGCTCCGGAATGTCAGCTCTCTGCGCAGCACCTGCCATCTGAGGCAACCCCCTCCAGGCCCCGGTCCCCAGGTGGCAGGCACTGCAGCAGCGCAGAGAGGGGCTTAGGGGAGCAGAAAGCTGTCACCTCCCCATGAACCCCTCTGAGACGTGTGGAGGGCATCAGACTGGGAACAAAACCGAAGTCTCGGCTGAGGTGTGGAAATACGCAGGACTCCACTGAGGACCCCAAAGGCCATCTGAAAGCAGAAGAGAGGCCATATCTCCTGCCAGCAGGACTGAGACCCTGCGGGGGTCTTGAGCGCACATCTGGGGAAGCCAAGGGACAAGGGACGGGAGGGGCAGAGGGAGACAAAGGCTCCTCCTGGAATCAGGAATCTGAACTGGAGAGGGCTCTGGCATCAGGTTACAACAGGAGCGGAGTCAACGTTCTTTTAAGACATAATTTAAGAATGATTTATTTGGGGGGACTCAGCATTATGTTATCCACTATGCTCATGTTGTCATAAAACTTGCTAATAATCTGGATGGGGTGGGAGTTGGGGGACTAACTGAAAACATCTGGGAGAGCGGACTATGACCATCATGTCTTGTTTTGATTATTTTGCTCAGGAGACAGCCTTGCAGGAGTGGGACTGAGTGATTACCCGAGTGCATTTGTATTTTTATGCAGAGTGTAGGTGTGCCTTGACTTCGTATTCCAAAATAAAACTGACGGCTCTTTTCCACTAGAACAGTGTGGGTCACCCCAGCTGCCAGCTTTTAGGTTTTTTAAAAATGTATTTTTACCCCCTAAGGAGAGAGAGGCACTTTGTGGGCCTTTCCCAAACTGCTGGAAAATGATTGATGGTGGGACTCCTTTCAACCCAAGTACAGCAGAGGGTCTGAAGCTTTGGGGATTGGATCCTACCGACTTGAAAGACCGCTGCCAAAATATCTATAGCACCGAGGTTTGGCAGCTTCCTTGAATCATTGCAAAAGGATTACAAAGTGCAGAACAAGCCCCCAAACAGCTCTGAAACGGGCCAATTCAGAGACTGACTGAGGCTGAGAGGTTGCTCGGGTCTGCCCCTCTCACCCTGCGTTGTTCATAGCTCAAACTGCTGTCCCCTTGGCCACGGCTGGCAGCATGGGTGACACACAGAAAAGATGCCAAAGGACATGGACTTTGGGTCACAGAACTAAACAGTGCCTGGTAACACGTCAGGCTCAGGGTTGGCAAATCCCACTCCACGGCACCCAGATTACGCTAGTGGGGGTCGATTAAGGCCGCAGTCTACCTGGCGAGAGCCTCCGAAAGAGAAGGCAGGGAAAATCTAGAAGCTGTCCCTTATCTCTTTAAAGTGAGGCACTGCAGCTATCCGTGGCACTCTCTTCACCATCGACAATACCGTTTGCACTAAGAGCAATGGCTTGTTTACCATTCATCATGTTTTGTGACCACAGCAGGAAGTGAGGGCGATCTGTGACCGGGTACAGATCTGGAGTGTCTCCATGACAACCTCAGCCCTAGAGGCCTCCTTCCATCCTGGGCATAAACCTGGAGACCCCAGCATGAAACCTCTGGAATTAGAGAGAGGGGCAAGGAGGAGCCGGAGGGGCCGGCACTGTGAGGGGCCAAACACCCTCCTTGCGTGGCTCCCACTTTCCCGAGTTCCTGGACAAACTCAGATTACACCCTAACACAAAACCCACAGCATGCAGCACAAGTTTCTCTGTTAGGCGACTTTAGTCACTGAAAAAGCGGGAACGCAGACTCCTGTGTAAATCTGATCCGCCATGCTAGGCCAAGCTTATTTTATTACATACATTCTGCACTCTAAAAACTAATAACTTCATATTGTAAACATTAAGCATACAGAGTTAAAATTCAAGGCCACATTATATCATTGATTGTCTCTTTGGTCGTGTATCTTTGGCTGGCCGAGATCAACTCGTAGTGTATAAATGCATAAGTTATATAATTATTATATAAAAAGGGGGGAAAAACACATTGACTTGTATACTTCACTCTGACAAACGCACAGCGTTCGCGACTCGAAAGGAACACTGGAGCCCGCCTAACCCAAACGCCTAGGTGATGTCGGAGGGCGACAGCCAGGACGGCTGTCTCTTACCTGACCCTGTGGAGAGCAGAGCCCCCCACAAAATGATGAAGTCCTGAATGTTTCTTTTTAAATATCAGACAATTCCAGTTACAATTTTCTTTGGACAAACAAACAAACAAACAAAAAAGAGATGCATGTTTTCGGGTCTGAATCCCACCACGTCCTCTTCCTCCATTCCGCTGTGTCCTTCCTCGTAACACTGGCTTTGGTATAACACTGACCATAACGAACCTCAAGTCTCCATGACACGTTCTCCAGAGTCCCAGTACTGTCGTCCTACTCCGGCCTCCGCTGCCTGAGAAGCTTCCTCCCCGGCCCTCACCTCCTCCTCTCGCACCTCCTCCCGCCCTCCGTCCACGACCACGCGCTCACTTTCCATTCACGTTCCGAGTCCCGCCATGCTGCTCCCAGTTCCGTAATCCTGCAAAGGGGTTAGAAACTTTGGGTCATCGGGTCGTCTTTGCAGTTTGAGAGAGCAGGCAGCTTTCCACCAAATGGAATGAATCTGATTTCACCCAAAACAGCAAGTGCTGATGAGTTCCATGTCAACGTCTGTTGCACAGTCTTTCTTTTCTTCTTTTTTTGTTTTTGTTTTTGTTTTTTTGATATGTTTCTATTTTTCAATACAGGTAGCTTTCCTTAAAATGACATTATAAACGGTATGTTAGGTCAAGACTGTGTTATCTGTATTGCTTTAGTTTAATCCCAGTTTGCATTAGCAGAACCCCAAACTCTACTCTAAAGTGTGTACACATCTTCAGACCACTTTCTTTGGCACTTTGTCCTTATGACTTCATGCTTCTACTTACAATGTCTTTTACAAGCTTGGTCCACAGATTATATGTCCACATACGTTACATTTTTAGCATCCTCTTTTATTTCTGTAGTAATACTTTAGTAATTCCCTCCCGCTAAGAGTCTTTGGATCTCTTCCTTGGCTTCCCTCCCCAGCCCCAGTTTTCATTCCTCTTGAGGCACTTTTGACTGCTGTTCTCCAATAGAGTTTGTGGCGATTTATTGGTGATTGCAGGTTGTTGGGAAAGGCCTCTCCCGGTCTTTAGTAGTAAGTGCCCAGGTGAGAAGGCATATGGCTGGCTGGGAGCCTAGTGTTAGGGTAGATACCTCCGGTTGGTGAATTCCAGTATGGGTTGGGGGCAGCAAAAAAACTGGACGACGTCACAGGTAGGGCAGGGGGGTGAGGAGCCACAAAGTTCATCTTCTGTGGGTGGGCGTGATAGGAGCCCATGTAAGGGAGGTCCGAGGGGTACTTGTAGAGAGATGACTCTGGAGGGTGGGGCTGGAGGGCCTGGGCGATGCCGTGGAAGTCAAACTTGTAGGCATAGCGCTTTCCGTGGACCTTGGTCATGATGTTTTTGTCATAGTAGTAACGGAGGGCACGGCTGAGTTTATCGTAGTTCATGTTGGGCTTGCTTTTCCGTTCCCCCCAACGCCGGGCCACCTCATCAGGGTCTGTCATCTTGAATTCCCCATTGGTGCCTTCCCAGGTGATGCAGTTGGAGTTAGAGCTGTCTGAAAGGAGCTCCAGGAGAAACTGCCAAAGCTGGATCTGTCCACTCCCTAATGCGGAGGGAAAGGACATACAAGGCAAATGAGAACAGGTTCTCAATAAAGACGTCCTCCCTTCAGTGACAGAAGTGGCTGCTGCTGGTGCTGCGCCCAGATCCCCTTTACCAGGCCTGTGCACCCTTCCCTTGGCTGCTGGGGGTGTTGGCTGCTCTCGTCCCACAGCCCACCCTGTCCTCCAGAGAACTGCCCTTGGCCGAAGGGAGCTGGATCACACACCTCAGGTAGCCCGTGGCCAGATGGACTAACAAAGGGTACCAATGACCAACCTCCTTGCCTCAAGGGGGTGTCAGCTCCATGATGCTTTCGTGCTCCAGAGATCCCCTCAGGATCCAGCTGAGGTCTCCACTTACTTAGTTTTCCCTGCCCTGTCCTGTTTCCTCACTCCCTCTCTCCCGAGAACATGCCCTTAATTAATCACGTGCACAAGTATCCTTATCCCAAACTCTTGTGTCAAGGGGCTGTGACTTAAGGCGATGGTCTTTGGTGATATTGGGCTGGTCTACAGACCCCAGTCCTTTACAAAATGCAAAGAATTCCTACAGTGCCAAGTTCAAGTTGCTTCCGTCCAGTTCTGACTTCCTTAGAAGGACAGCCAGGTCAAGTTGGTGTTTTCAGGGGGGTGGATGGGCTTATTTTTCCTATTTTATGAGGCAGAATGTGCGGTTATGTTGATGGCAATAATGACTTAATACCATTTATGTTGGCTAGGTCAAGTAAAATAATAAAAGTCAGATTTAGGAAATGAACTTCTAAAAAGTTTATGGAAAAAAATAGAGAATGGAAGTAAACACCGTTATTTCTAACATAACAGTTTGCTGGCACTCAGAAAGCAACTCTGTCAAAACTTTTCCTAGAACAGAATTAACCCACTCAAAATGAGGAAGTGTAGAAAAAAAAAGTTGGCTCTTTTTCAAAACCAGATCACCCATTTCCAGTATTTAGGCAAATGCCTCGCAAGGGAAATCCATGTGTTGCCCCTGCATTGCAATGCCAACTGTGTTCAGAAGAGTTTCCAAAAGAAAGCGTGTAACAATGAGCGATTGCAAGGCCCCTTGGGGAGGGGAAGAGGCTGAAACTTAGTCCAGGAGACCTCATTTAACTGCCTGAGCACCATCAGGATTTTCCTGATCCCACTGGGGTACCTCGATGTGGCTTTTATGCTTCATTAAACTCAGAGACAAATTCAGGCACATTATTCTAGCCACTATGCTACAATTCTTTAAGATGATTTATGGCTCCCTAACGGAGTGAAGCATGTGAATATTGACAGTAATATCGAGTACAAGGAGAAGCTATGATGTGTCCAACAGATATTAGACGCTTTGAAAATGGATAACAGGCAGGTCTTTCTTCCTGAACTCCAATTACAGCACGGCCTCGGGCTTATTACCAAGAAGATTACCTTTTATTATACTATCAGTAAGAATCAATAGATGTGATAAAATGATTACAGTAACTTTAACTGGCAACTATTCAGGGAATGGATGTAATGTAAAAATCAATTAGAAATTTGTTGTTCACTAAATCCTTTCCACTAGCTGCCCATATAAATTCTCTAACTCATAAATCCTCATTTCCACATTGGCTGCATGGAAATGGATATGTTTGTGAATTCATCCATACAATAGCATCGTGAGAAAGGTCAGCCTTTTCTGAATATGTTCTGGAAAATTATCATTTTTGTGTCTAGCAACACATTTGAAATTTATTAACAGCTTGTAGTTCATTACAATGGAAGCCTCTGCTTTTCGGAACCACATATTCAAACTGTTCTCAATCAAGTTTTGTTGCCCCCAAAGTTTCATTAATATGCATTAAAAAATACAAAGAATGGTATGAGGAAGCCATATGGTTTTAGTATATATATTGTAACTAAAGGATTAATACTTGAAAAAATTCCACATTTGACCTGGGGATAGGGAAAAACATGGATTTTTGATTTATCAGTCTAACATATGCTTCAATATAAACACAGAGAATTGTTTGAAAATAAATATTCACTGTCAGCCTCCTCCTATAGAGAGAGCAATCCCACAGATTTTGTAAAAATAAACACTTTCCTAAACACCAAAATAATACTCAGTATTTATTCAAACCTTGGCATTGCCTCTTAGGAATCTGTCCCTCAGCCACTTCCTTTGTAAACATGTGTTAACAGAGAATGAGTGGACAAAAGTGGCCTCATCTCTCTCCTGATTCTGGAGAACTAGAAAATCAGGGACCCAAATGCATGGTTGGAAACTTAGAGCTCAAGGAATGGATGTGCATTAGTCACTAGACCATTTTACACATTAGCCTTTCAGATATGGGGCTGAGGCCTCTGAACATTTCCAGACTCTATGGGCATAAGGGATCTGTAAACAAAATTTATCAGCTTCCAAACCTGAGAACAAAACCAAAAATGCAAAAATCAATTAATGTTTACAAATGTAACATTATCGTCCATAGCATCAGCCCCTGCACCGCAGCTCCTCCACTGTAGTCATAGCCAGTCCTCACAAGCAATCAGGCTGAGGGTCAATCCCTCCCACTGACGTGCAAACAGCAACCAAGGCTCAACTACAACAGGAGGGCACACACAACCCACAGTATGGACACACCTGAAGCACCCAGCTCAGGTGATCAGGGAGACTGCACCACTAGGACCCAAAGGACACCTACTACATAAGGCCACTCTACTGAGTCCAGGAGACATAGCAGCTAAATCTAATATATAGAAACAAACACAGGGGGGCAGTCAAAATAGGAAGACAAAGAAACACATCCAAATAAAAGAACAGAACAAAGTTCCAGGAAAAGAACTAAACAAAATGGAGACAAGCAATCTACCAGATGCCGAGTTCAAAACAATGCTTTATAAGGATGTTCAATGAACTTACAGGAAGAGTAGATGAATTCAGTGAGAAGTTTAACACAGATATAGGAAACAAAAATAGAGATAGAAAACATAAAAAAGAACTAGTCAAAACTGAAGAATACAATAACTGAAATAAAGAATACATTAGAGGGAATCAACAGTAGATTCGATGAAGCAGAGGATCAAATCAGTGATTTGGAAAAAAAAAGATAGCAGAAAACACCCAATCACAACAACAAAAAGAGAAAAGAATCTAAAAAATGAGGACAGTTTAAGGGACAGTGCTCTGGGACAACATCAAATGTACCAACATTCACATCATAGGGGTACCAGAAGGAGAAGAGAGAAAGCAAGGGATTAAGACCTGTTTGAAGAAATAATGATGGAAAACTTTCCTAACCTGGCTAAGGAAATAAACATACAAGTCCAGGAAACACAGAGAGTCCCAAACAAGATGAACCCAAACAGGCCTACACCAAGACACATCATAATTAAAATGCCAAAGATTAAAGACAAAGAGAGACTGTTAAAAGCAGCAAGAGAAAAGCAGTTACTAGTTACCTACAATGGAGCTCCCATAAGGCTGTCAGCTGATTTCTCAACAGAAGCTTTGCAGGCCAGAAGGGATTGGCAGGAAATGTTCAACAGGATGGAAAGTAGGACCTACAACCAAGATTACTCTGCCCAGCAAAGCTATCATTTAGAATCAAAGGACAGATAAAGAGCTTCCCAGTCAAGAAAAAGCTAAAGGAGTTCATCACCACCAAACCAGTATTACAAGGAATGTTAAAGGGATGATGGAGGAGGAGGAGGTGGTGGAGGAGAGGGAGGTCAAAGGAGGGGGGAGGGGAGGGGAGAAAGAAAGGAAGGTGGGAGAGGAGAAGAAGAAAATACAAATAACAAAATGGCAATAACTACATACCTATCAATAATTACTTTAAATGTAAATGAATTAAGTGCTCCACTCAAAAGACATAGAGTGGCTGAATGGATAAGAAAGCAAGACTCAAGTGACCATCAATAGATGACTGGCTAAAGAAGATGTCACACACACACACACACACACACACACACACACACACAGTGGAACATTACTCAGCCATACAAAAGAATGAAATCTTACCATTCCTGACAACATGGATGGACCTACAGGGTATTATGCTAAGTGAAATATGTCAGACAGACAAAGAAAAATACCATATGACTTCACTAATATGTAGGATGTAGAATCTAAAAAACAAAATAAACAAGCAAAACAGAAACAAACTCACAGATACAGAAACAAACTGATGGTTGCTAGGTGGGAGGGGAGCTGGGGGAATGGGTGAAAAAAGGGAAGGGATTGAGAATTACAAATTGGTAGTTACAAAATACTCACGGGTTGTAAAGTACAACATACAGAATACAGTCAATGGTATTGTAATAACTATGTTTGGTGTCAGGTGGGTACTGGATTTACTGAGGTGATCACTTTGTAAGTTATATAAATGTCTAAACACTATGTCATACACCTGAAACTAATATAATATGGTATGTCAACTGTAATTGAAAAATAAAAAATTAAAAAAAAATTTTAAAAAGCAAAAACAAAGTAGACTTACAAAGTTTTTTCCAGTTTGATTTGACAAGTAAGACATCTTTGGATTTGCTTTAATAAATCTATCTTTGAGTATGCTGTAAAAATAGTAACATTATGTCTGGCTCAATAATTGTTAAATCTAATGTTCGTCAGAAACCCACAGTACAGAGCAGATTTTCTCACTGCGCGAGACTTCTCAAGAATGCACCATATTTGCTGACAAGCCACAGTCAATGGTAAGTTAAGTGAGTTACTCATGGCCAGAGAATTCAAAAGCAATCGAATGAATTCTTATTTTACTGTCAAAGCATACCATTTACTGGGCATTAAAGGTGCACATTTTAGAAAAATGGAGAGGGGTTCCAAGACAAGAATCCCTACGGCTTAGGAAGCCAAGAGTGGCTTGGGTCGCTCATGGGTCAAACCAAAGAGTAAACAGAGAAGCTCGTACAGACAGGATCTTCGTCGCCTCCACCCCACCAGCATGGCCATGTCCACCCCATGAATCACCTTTCTTGGGTAAAACCCTTCATACTTATTTTTCCACTCTATCTCAACAACACCCATGCGGCATCAGTAAGGAGTAGCTACTTTTGTCCTAGGTTTGTCTACGGTAGGATTGGGCAGTGGTGGAGAGCCCAGTGGGACGCAGGGAGTGGGGCGAGGCCCAGAAGAGGAACGTGGTCTCCTCATGAGGTTAAAAGAAGAGAAACATGGTAGCAAAGGGGTACAGGCTGAGCAAAAAAGGGCAAAACATCTGAACGGTTGATAAGCCACAGAGGGAAGCAGAGCTGGGGGTGCCTCGGCAGGTGTGGGTCAAGGGGGGGGGAGTGTCCAGGGCAGGACACTGCAGCCGCCCACGGACGGAGGGGCAGAGCCTTAAATAAGCAAAGAGGGACCCAGCAAGCAGCACGATGGCGTCACTGCTGGGGATGTTGCAGAAAAGCCCGTGTGCACAGCCTACATCCTCCACCAGGCTTTGCCTGGGCTCAGTGTGGCTCAGACAGGACTTGTAGGAGGGGCAGGGTGTATGGTGGCTGGAAACACCACTTTGGTGTCAGCACTGCCACTTCTGGGACCATGGGCAGCTCACCCAGCTCTCTGTGCCTTGGTGTCCTTATCTGCAAAATGGGGGTGATGGTAAGAGTACTATCTTGCAGGGTCACTGTGAGGTTGAACTGAGGCGAACAGTCTTATATGATTGGTTTGGGCTGGAAACCCGAGTTTAAAGAAAGGTGTGCCCTTTACCCAGAGCCAGGAGATAGTCACTGGAAGCTTATGGTGGGCCAGGCACTGTTCTGAACACTTTACATGTGTTTATTTAATCCCTGTCACTGCCCCCAAGAATCCTGTCAATGCTCACTGTAGAAGATGAGAGCCCTGAGAGGTAGGGTGATGTATCTTGCCCAAAGTCAGCAAAGGCTGGGACCCTGCTCCAGGCTTTGACCCTGAATCACTGCACAAACCACTGCCTTCAGGTCTGGTGTCTACACACACCGCCATGGTCCCCTGGAATCCTCCCTAGGGTGTCCCCTCCCTGGGCCTGGAGCTTGGTAGGTTCCTAGTGGAAGACTGGACACGCCTACCTTCTAACAAATTGCAAAACATCCCTAAAACTGGTTTCTGGTTTTGCATGAAGCAGGATGCATTTCTATGCCCGCCATGAAAGACTATGCAGTGAGCATCAAGGGAGACACTGAACATAATCTGAGGAAGGTCTTTCAGGAAAAGGCAATTTCAGTTCATTCGAGAAGCCTCATAAAACGCTGGGCCATTCTGGTGGAACATAAAGGAGCTGTGTCACTTGTATCTGATCCATGACATGATAACGCAGGGACACACTTTTCTCAGCAGGAGAAATATGGGCCAAAGTGCACACCCAATGAATATTTGGGATGGAGAGATGTTGAGATGATGACATCACCTGTGTAGTCACACTGTATGATGTCATCTTCCCATTTAAAATGATTAAAAAGAATGTGCACTGTGTAAAGAGCAAAGACAGCAATTTTAAGTGATGAAGGACTTATTTATCAAAGAACAGAATAATAGACTCAAACAGGAGGAAGCAAAGATAAAAGATAAGCTGGTATCGTGGAAGAGGCCACACGAATATAACTGACATGGCTGAAAGATGGATGGAGGGAAGGCCCCATTCATTATAAATCAAGTAAAATAAATCTTTATCTTCAGGTCAGAAGTTGATGCTACCACTTTCCCCAGACCCACTGAGAAAGGTCTCAGTGGTAGAAGGGCAGTCTTTCGCTCACGACACTAGGTCACTGACCTGTTAGATACCGAGACATTTTCCCAGGCCTGTAATGGTTTGCAATCTCCTCCAGGCTCTGCCCCAGGCTCCTCTACCTACATGGGCATCCCCAGTTGCTGGGCAGTGTGCCACCACGTAGCTTGATGGCCTGCTTAGGGGCCAGCCACTCTCTTTGGTCCCACTGTCCAACCAACCCACGCCTTTGAGCTGTGACAACATGGCATAGACATATATTTCATTCGGCCAACTTGTGTGAGGAAAAGGTCCATTTAGTCTAGTTGGGCACACTTGACACTTTCCTTCCCTTCGCCCCTGACTTCAGACCCATCCTGTGCACCTAAACAGTTGTTAAACTGATGGCAATCTTCCCTTTCTTTTCTCTTGGTCCCGTTCTCCAAGACCTCCCTCTTCCCCCACGCTCACTCAGAAGCAATTTAGGGGAAGAAAATGAAAACAGACTTTGCAGACAGAGAGTCAGGGTTCAAATCTGGCCTCTCTTCTTATTGGCCGTGTGACCCAGGAAAAGTTACCAAGTTTCTCTGGACTTCTGATTCCTCTTCTGTAGGATGAAGACAATAACCTCCCAAGGCTGCTATGAGACAGGACCACAGACATAAGTGCTTTCTCAGGCATTATATGGGGTCGGGAGCGATTTGAATGTTATCTCACATTATTGCATTAACTTTCCCAGTGTTTCAGATTCTGTCCTTTTCCTCTTTCTAATCTATTCTGAACACTGCTGCCAGATCAGTCTTCCTGAAGCATGACTGATAATCATCATCTCAAAACACAGTAATCATTTTATTTGAATGATGCTGGAGGCCATTGCAAATGGAAAGCTGACCGCAGCGATGAAGAGGGACCAGCGACCCAGGGGACATGGCCCCCAGGTGGATGGTCACATAAGAGGACAGAGCCTGAGACGCCATGGTTGGGACAGTGTGGTACCTCCCCGTGTCCATTCCTCTCCCAGAACATAAGCTCCTTGAGCGTCAAGGGTGGCATCTCGGTATTCCTTGCATCTATTTAGTCAACAAATAATTTCTGAGCACCTGGTCTAGGCTCCCAGGGTAGAGCAGTAAACAAAACAGGCCCTTCTAACTGCTCAGATGCTTAAAGAATATATGCCTATTAATTAACATTAACTGAAATATAATGTCCAAGATGGCAGACGCTCAATAATAATATTTCATGTTCTCAAAGTATAGATTCCCCGCTGGTTGAATCTGAATTTTTCTGTTTCCAATGCTCTTTTGGCCTCAGCATTTGGGAAATATATATTCCAGCTTGTACTTGCAAGATGCCTGTGACATCTTGGCATTTGAATTTGCTGCTGAGAAAATGCACCATGTGCTGTGGATTTCTGAAGCTAACACCAGCACAGCTGGCTCTAATCTCAATACAAACACAAAACAATTTGGTTGACAATGGAATGTGATGTCAGGTGACAAAGCTCAGCAGGTACAGGTTACAAATAGGCCAATTAGGGACTGGCACTTCCCTCTAGTGTCTAACTTGAGAAACAGACCATTCATTGAAGATAATCCTAAATTTGAAGTCTTATGGTCAAAATTAGTGTTTTCCTTTTTTAAATATTATTTTATCTGTTTGTATGATGGATTGAATTGTGTCCCCTCACCACCAAATTCACATATAAGACAGAGTCTTAACCCCCAGCACCTCAGAATGTGACCTTATTTGAAAATAGGGTCTTTATAGAAGTAATCAAGTTAAAGTGAGGTCATTAGGGTGGACTCTAATCCAATCTGACTGATGTCATTATAAAAACAGTGAATTTGGACACAAGAGACACATACAGAGCGATGACAAGGTGAAGAGACACAGGCAGAAGGTGACCATCTATAAGCCAAGGAAAGGGGTCTGAAACAGATCCTTCCTTCACCGCCCTCAGAGGGGACTAAGCCTGCTGACACCTGACGCCTTGCTTTTGGACTTCCGTCCTCCAGAACTTCGAGACAACAGGTGTCTGTTGTCTAAGCCCCGTCTGTGGTGCTTTGTTATAGCAACTCTAGGACACTCCTACAACTTGGATTAGGTAAGAATGCTTTTTATTGAAGCTAAAATCTTAATTTATACCCCAACCCCTTTTTTTCTCCACTTAGGCAAATTATCTAGTGACACCTAAGGCTGAAATATGTTCCATTGAAGGGATTTCTCACCAATGCACGTTTATCTTTGAAAATAGCCACTGCCCAAAAGGCAGCTTTGCAAGAGCAGACTCAGCAGCAGTGTCTCACCTGGGTTTGCAAGGCGGCTACTCGTTGGTCCAAGAATCTGATAAGGATCTACAGAAAAAGAAGAGCGTCAACTCCTAAAGATACAGTCGCGACTCAGTATGTGATATGCCTGCAGGTATCATGCTGGCCCACTTGTGCTTCCAGCTTTCAGAGCGGAAAATGTCCCCCACACCAAAGTCACTAGCACCACTTCCTGTATTAGATGTCACATGGAATCTCAGAAGTTTCTTGATAGAGAGCCTCCGAGTTGGTCGCCAAGCTCAGATTTGGCCTGGGCTTCCTGAAACCAGCCCAGTGCTCTCTCCATCCCAGGACACAAGCAGGGCGATGTCTGTGAAGTCCCCAGGGGGCCCCAGCACCATGTTGGCTGTGCTGCCCAGCGCACTTTCCATATGTATTGTATAGATTTTGGAAATGTTGTAACAAAATCTCAAGTCATCCTAATGGGGCAGGCTGATAATTTGGTCCCCATTTTATATACAAAGCTGCCATCCGGAAGACAAAGCAACATTAATTTCCTTTAGAAAAATGACACATTTTAGAAATATGCTGCTAAGTCTGTTTCTTCTCTCATGGCCACTGAGGAGTTCCCGGAAACATACCTAACTGAGGACGCTGGTCTTCAGTTTTGGGCACTGTGGAAGGAGATGGCTGAGCAGCTGGAAATCCAAAGATGAAGGAGACAATGAGCTATAACATATTTGGCCACTAGTCTTTGATGCTGTGTCTCAGCATTCCATGGTACTTGGCTAGTACCGTAAGTCTTAACCAAATGTCAACATTGTAGCAAAAACAAGAACGCTTTAAATTATTTTTAAAAATTATTTGTACCCCACTTTTTCCAAAACTAAGAGAGAGAGAGAGAGAGAGAGAGAGAGAGAGAGAGAGAGAGAGAGAGAGAGAGAGAGAGATTGAGATGGCTTACAACACAGATTAAAATGAATCACAGTCTAAAATGAATAAAGGGACACTAACAGGAAAATAAAATAAAGCAAGGCATCCTTACAAATATGTTAGGCCAAGGTTAGGAAATCACCCAGTATCTAATCTGTACTCAATATCCCATGAGACATGCATTTGTGCATGTTGAAATGCATTACATCAGTCGTTCCTTTTTGTTGTAGAAGTGGGTATAACCCAATAGAGAAAGAATCATTGTATTTCAAGATCATTGTGCTTGGTTACCAATGGGACAAATACTTTACATGGTGAACAAGCATAGGTTAGCTACAGAAATGATTATTTCTTCCATCAAGAGTCCTCCACTGTCTTGTGACATGCAGATTCAAGACAGTGGGAGCCAACACTGTACCTTTCGACTGGGGGGTGGGGTGGCCGTGACCGGTCCAGGCTGATCTCCTGGGTGGTTCATAAGGTAAATCTGTAAAGACAAATAAGTTGACTAAAAGATCAATGATGTAATTTTTATAATAGACATTTTATGTTTTCAGTTTTATCTTTATTAGAATAAATATTGCTCAAAAAAATCCAGCAACCCAAATAAAATTTCAACCTATATTCCACTAGACTTGGGTTTTATTTACAAATTATAATTTTGTATGTTTGATTGATCTAACGTTTTTACCCATTAATCTGAAAGTGCTCATTGACGGATTCTCCCAGAGCTTGCTGATTCTTCTAAGGTAATTCCCTTCTAAGGTAAGTCATGACCAGACTGAAAGCTTCTTACAACCTAATTTGTCCTCTATCCAACTGGGACTGACCTATATCAATCCCTTTATTATCTTCATGACACATCCAACACAGAGCCCGCAACTTTGATGAATCAACCAATTCTTGCTTGAGGTCTGCCCCTCAACCCACCAAATGACATTCACGGTCCTTTTTCTTTTTTTTCCTTGGAAACAAGCATTGCCTTCTCATCCACTTATTTGTCAGCTGCCTCTCTCAGCCACTCCTCACTTCCCTTTTATAATCTCATCCATTTATGTTAAATCAGTCTTAAACTGTCTACTTCTTTTTCTATGCAAATGTCTACTCTTTCTTGTTCTCTAAATGAATTTAGAATTTCTCTAAAATAAATTGCACAAAATAAACTGCAAGACCGAAACAGTAATGCCTCCACAACACGTCAGCAATGGCCATAAGAGCTTAAGTATGTGCCAATAATTTCTTTGCATTTATAATGTACTATCACTTCTCCCATAAATCTTTACTATGCACTTTGCATATGCAAATTTAATAAATACTTCTGCATCCTCAGTGTGAGTTCTATTAACGATTACAAAGCCTCTAAGTCATTTTAAGTTTCTTTCAGAAATATATTCCAGGAACATTTTATGCATGCTTGAACTGGGCATATACACAGCTACGTCCACCTGCAGCCTTATTATGGAACTATTTCAAAACTATGTCTTCTTGGATTGAATGTTCAATTCAGTGTTCAATGCCATGTGTCATTCTGGGCCAACTGAAAGCCACAGCCAAATACTTCAGCAGGTATTCTGCTGCCAGACACCTGGAGATGGCTACAAAATTGCACTTGGAGGGCAGGGCAATGTAATCAGTTTTAAGCTTCTCTTTAAACACATCATTTAACCTTATTTAAAATTGGCAAATTGGTGGGTCAGTCTTCAAACAGTTGGACTATGTTGCAAAAGATGTGTCTCTTCCTATTTTCATATCCCAAAGAGAATAGCAATGAAAGACAACGTGAAATTCAACACAGAACTGCCGTAATTTATTTGGTCTGTTTGGCTACAAGCACCACGACGAGTGTGGTCGGTGAAATCCTACCCTGCTGAGCTTCAGTTGCATTAGATAATTTTTCTTTTTACACTCTGCTATTGCTCACCACTCCCTGTCAGCTGGCATTGTGGGGGCTGTCAGCCTTTCCCACCCAGTTCCTCAGTCTCTCTCTGCTGGCGTTGGGGCTGCACGTGGGAATTCAATCGGCTGCCACCATCAATTTTCAAGAGAATTTCAACCTAAGTTTCTGGGAGCCCTTTGCACATGGATTCTCACCCAGTTGCCTTTTGTCTAAAACGGGTTAGCCAGAGATTCAATGTGAGAATTGTCTCAGAACAAAAAATCTACAAGCAAGGCGATCCTAACAGCATCTAGCCTAATTCAGGAAAAGACAGGTAGGTTAACAAGAGGCTGTTTACCAAATGAAAAAGCAAGATAACCCAGAAATATGTTCTAGGGCCTTGTTTCTCCAAATGTGGTCCTCAGACAGCAGTACTGGCAGCATGTGGCAACTTGTTAGGAACTGAGAATCTCACTGCAGACCTAATGAGTTGGAATCTGCATGTTCACACGACCCCAGGTGGCCCCTGTCACACCGATGTTGGAGGAAGCCTGCTCCACACAACTTTCCATTGCTCTTTTCTAGGACCCTCCGTTCCTAATGATTTCAGAAATACTATCTGCGAGTGTCGATACAAATAAATAAATGTGTGGAAAGAATTCCAGATTGAATGATTTTACCTGACATATAAAAACGCTAATGGAATTAACAGCAAGTGTCAGTAGGTTAGTTCGCTACTATTTTAAACACACAAAAAAAGAATTGCTCATGAAATGTGACTGGAAAAAATTAAACAGCAAACTACGAATAGAAAAATATTTTGAAGCTCTTTTCTCACAGAATCCTTCTTAGGGTGTAGAACCATGTCCCATCCTCTCTTGAAAATAAGTCAGGACCTAAATGACACCAAGTCTGATTTTAAGCCAAGAATTTGAGATGTTTATATGAACAATGACTAACATGTTCATAAACATATTGCCATGGGAGATAAGCGGGCTTTTGTTTTCGTTCATGAAATCCTGGTCCAATGCTTCCTTATCAGCTGCCGATCACATGCTGTGGGCACCAAGCCCCCTCCTGTGGGATGTGACGTGGGGAGGTGTTGAACTCAGCCTTGCTGAGATGGGTGACCTCATCAGCAGCCACCCCACCTCACCACAGAGCCACTGTGGTTCTACTCTTAGGCTGCTTGAAAAATGATTCCTCCATGAACATTTGCTACTTGCCCCTTATTGACAGTAATCAGAGGACTCCTAATAAGGACATATTCCACATTCAGTTTTTAGTGGCCATTTGAATACACTCTCCATTTCTCTTTAACCTTGATCTTCAGGTTCATTAACTCATGCACTTGGCAGGAGGTCCTGGGTTGGGGAAGGCAGATTTCTGGCATTGGTCCTGCTATTTTTCCTGTAAAAGACTGTGATTAAAAACTGAACTTTATAAATGCCATTTTGAGGGCAGCTTAGGGTTACATGGGAGTATCTCTATGCCAAGACCCAGACCAATAAACACGAAGCTACAAACAAGGAGTTTGACTGGTACTGGCTCCTCCGTGCCAGCGCCTTTGTTTATTTCCTGGGGGCTTGGGTCAGTTCCTGATTCTGAATGGGTTTCCTCCCCCCACCACCGATCTTCCTCCCTAGACATCAATGAATCAAGACAACATCCTTGCTGCAGACTTAAGTTCACCACGTTTTACATTCTCCTTTCTCAAGCTTGCTGAAGAACCACCGTCATCCCTCTTGACGTCCACCTACCCACTTCACTTTTTTAAAGGGTTGAACTTGGATAACGTGAGAGTCATCTTCTTCTGCAGGAGCCAGGCCACATTTACAAAGCGGCGCTGGAGGTCCCTGGTTGGGTGGGATGGGGCAGGGCAAGACGTGCCTGCTCTGATGCACTCAGATGCTAATGGCAAAGGCAGAGAGACCAAGGGCTGCTGCCCAGAACCAACCTATAAACCCGTTTCCTGGGGGGAAGCGTTAGAGTCACCCCAACATGGCTAAGTCACTCTGTCTCGTTTTCCCAGTCTTCTAAAATCCTCTATCAAAGACATGGCGATGTGGGCACACTGTAGTCCCTGCTCGCCTAGGTCTGCGGATCTTTGTGGTTATAGTACAGCTCGGAGAGAGCAAAGGATGCATGGTTAGCCATTGGCTAAGACACAGGCTTTCGACAGCGCCTCACTGAGGGGTAGCTGCACTGTCTCATACGACTGGTGATGAGCAATGGCACTAAATGGCGAACTCCAAAGGAGGAACAGTTTAAGGTTCCAAGAAACCCTTGAAGAACAGCCGCTGAAAGTGAAAGTCAAGGCTGCACTTGCAGGCTCAGCTCTCCCGTCTCTTTTGGTAACGTCCTAGATGGGTACCATGATGCATGGGTTGCCATGGTGATATAGGACCAGAGGATGGGGTTACAGGATGTCCTCCTTGGCACACACCAGAGTTTTCACATGAAATGCTCCTAAGGTGCCAGGCAGGGGGCACATCACATGGTCAAAAACCAGCTTGCAAGTTTCTGTGAGTCAGACTTGTCTCTATTTATGCCACGTGAGACCTTAAGGGGCTATGGCTCCGGGCATGTGCTCAGTATAGGAGGAGATGCATATGAGGAGATGCATATGAGGGCGCTGGGGGAAGAGTTTCTGATAGAAATAACTGACAGCATGAGAAACACACGAGACACCATAAAACAATCACCACAGAAAAACAGAATGTAAAGTGATATGCCCATGTGCTGACACTTTGTAAGAGCAGAGACCCATCTAAATGCTCATGTATAACAAAGGGACCATAAAAGAGGGTGCATTTTGAATCAGAAAAATTTGGAAATGGTAAATAGGAACAGCATGGGAGCAGAAGGGACGAGCACGAACAAAGGAGCACGATGTATTTGTGCTTATCTGTAAGATCCCCAACAGTCTTGGCCAATTATGGGGTAAAACAGAAATGACACAGTGACTTGACAAGGTAAGCAGTAAGGGGACCCTGGAATAAACAATCCACTTGGGGAGTTCAGCCACAAAATGAGAAAAAGGTAGCAAGCAGCAGCCCAGGCAGGAAGGAAAGGGGGGAGGTGGTGTGGGAAGTGTGCCGAGGGAGCACCGGGGAGCAGGACTCGGCAGGATGCCACAGGCAGGTGGAAGGAGGCCTCCGCTTCCATGATGTGGGAGCAGAGAAATGGAGTGGACAGGAAGCTCATGACACAGCCAACCAAGAGTGCAGGGACATGAACTTGGGTCTCTACCCGCAAGGGCTCCAGGACCTCTTCTGAAATCACCTCTTCTGAAAGCGGTCAGGTGTCCATTGACCACAGGGACACAGATCTTAGCGACGCCCTCCCACCCAGTGACTCATGCAGCCATGGGAACCAGCTTTGCAACACCCATGCCCCCTGAGCCATCCCACAGTTCTCCATTTGCGCTGTGACAGGCTGTCACACTCAAAAGACAATTCCTTCTAGGCTGCTCACTGCTCCACCCAATGTATATAAATAACTGTCTTCTCCAAGGTCAAATCCCTGAGCCTGGTTTACAGCAAACGATTCTCTGGCTTGTTCAGTCTGGTTTAAATTCTTTATAGCTCAGATTCCAATATTTGTATCCCCTTTCATCATTATAACAGCAATCACCAAAACACATACTTTGGACACAAATTGAGTCTCAGAAACACAGAGATATAGAAGAGTGATCTCCTTCAGGTCACACTCAAATGAGGGACCTGAGGAAGAACATTGTCAGAGCCATGTGAGCTGCATTTGAGACTGCCACCCTTGTCTTTTCCTTGGCTGACACACAGAGATGGTGTCCCAGCCATCACCCTCCCAGCCACACTTCTCCCCACACACCCATATTCCAATTCCACCATATCCTAACATATGAAAAGAAAGTCATCCATTGTCCTATCTGTGTAGCCACAAGCAGTCAGCTGTCTGCTCTGACCAGGGGGCAGTACCAACTCATCTGGGCAAGGCTGTGTCTGCACCATCTCATAGTCCCTGGCTTTTGTAACACAGTCAGAGACATTTATGTGATAGCGTCAAACAAAGCAAATGTTTTACAGGTGGCTTTTATTCACTTATTATTTTACAGTAAGGATGGAAATGTTTTTAAAACGCTCACAAAATCACTGTGATTTTCCTAGATTCCCTATGTCTTTCGCTAGGATGCGTTTACTAGTGGTAAACTCAGAGCTCTCTAGAGCTAGAATAAAACGTGTATTTCTATCTTTCATTCTCACTACACGTGGTGGGTTCCCGTAGGGCCAGTCTAGTTCACGCTGGACCCTGGGTCATGACCAAGGTTAAGTGGCCTGTGAAATCTCTCACATGACAGAGCTAGTGAACTAAGCCAAAGTTCCTCAGTTGTACCATGCTTCTTAGGAACAGGGGAGCAAACGTTTTCTCTGGGTTAGAGAAGAGAAAACCAGCGGCCTGAAGTCACTCCGGCAGTAACAGGGCAGGGCCAGGTGAGCACAGCGCTGAGAAGTGTCTTCACTCATGCGATTTAGCTGCCTGGCCCCCAGTCTTTCTCACCGGAAAGAAACAGCAGCACCAAACTTCGTGCCTTGGACCAGTTCCGACTGAGACTTGTGGAACCTGGACATGCGTGGAGCTCAAAGGGCAGTAGCCTGGTTCTAAGAAGAAGTGAGTTCTCGAGACACGGGTATGGAAAAACCATCCCGCCGCCCTGAACCACCATGTCCTCAGCTGTGAGGCTGGCACAGTAGTAACCAGCTTATGGGGCTGCAGTGAGTCTGGTGAGGGGGCAGGTGGCTAAGGCAGGCTGCCCCACGTCTAAAACGCCCTTCCTCCTTCGCCACCTTCTCCACCGGGCAAACACCCCTCCTCTTCGGCGTACCCTCCTTCCTCTGGAAAACGTCCTTCCTCCTGTCATGGAGGGGTGAACTCCTCCCCCTCGCTGCTCCTGCAGCCTCTGTAAAATCAGCACTTTTGGTTAAGCATCCACGCGTGCCTGTCTGTGTGTCGGGCTCTGTGTGGCTGCCCCCAAGGTTACATATTTATGGGTGTGAGTCTGTCTCTGGCTCTACAGAAACCACCAGGGCTGCGGGTTTAACCTGTGTATGGGCCTGGGAGCTTATGCCCACTGTCCCCTCTGCAGTGGGCACAGAGGGGACGCTCCGTGGACATCTGAGGAACGCACAGGCCAGCGTTCTGAAGTCGGGAGGCTTTTTGAAATCTGGTTCAGCTTTGTATTCCCAAAATCTAACATCGTGCTTGGCACTGGTAGGCACTTGATAAACATTTATTTTTAGTGTGTGAACGACATGGAAATGAATTACCTACTTTAATCATCGGGAAAGACGTAAAGTAAGAGTCGGAGGTAGGTATTATCTACTGCATGCTTCTGCTCTGAGTGACTGGGGAAGGGTGGCCAGTGTTATGGGGACCCCTGTTGCTTTCTGCTGTTCCCCTGAGGAGGGCTAGATTACACATAAGTCCTTCGATTAACTCAAAAGCCAACGGATTCGATTGCAGGCATCCGGGATGCCATGTTTGCCTGTCTGACTTTCAGAGCAGCTAGCTAAGGGGCTGGTCTGCTTTTAATCCTACAGTTCAGGGGCCCTGAGTGTGGTCTCTGAATGCAACGGCCTGACTGAATTTAGGCCCCAAACCCCCAGAGGCAGAATAAGACTGTTTAGGACTTGCTTCAGATCCAGGATCAGCTCTCGATCATGTGACTTAGGTCACGGATCGCACAGGCCATCCTGGGATGACCCTCAATGAACAGATCGCACAGGGGTGTTTTCGTACCTGGCCTAGTTGTAATTCTTTGCGTAGCTTCAGGATATACTGAAGTATTTGGGAAAATAAAAGCTGCACCCCCTGCAGACAAAAGGAAAGACAAAACAAGTGAAGGTCTTTTGTTGAGGCTGTCGGCCCATCTCAGCAACGGTGCTCAATCTACTTTGCCCCGTGACGACAGAGGGAGGCAACCTGCTCGAACCTGCCATCCCAGGTTCTGGAGGAATGGACAATAAACGGGTCAGAAATAGGTTCTGAAGATGGAGGCAGACATGAAACGCTACGAAGCCCCCTTTGTTACAAGGTGTCCTGGGCTTTGATTTTACAGCTTCTTACTGAAGTCCATCTTTGTGCCCCCACCCCCATGCCCAGCAATCTCAGTTTATTAAAAAAATTCTATGGTGTGTGTTTTTTAATTTTGCAATTGCATGAAAGACCTGTAAAAAATTTTACAGAGCCCTTGGAAAGTGGTACCAAAGAATTATACGTATTTTGCCAAAAAATATATGGATCTTATTAAAAATTAATCCACTTCTCTATTCAAATGGGTGTTTTTCCTTTCTCCCTCTTAATCAACGATTGTGTGTTAGTAGAAAAATTCTCCCTTGTCGCAGCTCAGTCCATTTGGAATTGGCTGTCCTGTTCTTTGATTGCTTCTATGTTTAACAGTAACAAAAATAATGAAATCAGAGCTTTCTTGAAACTTTCGCTCCCTGTTAAAATTTTTTTTAATGACCATGAAATTATCAGAAACTGTGTATAGCTCAAAGGTGTTTCCTAAGAGGGGGAAATTACTTTGTCTAAGTTATTTGTTATTTCTGGCCACAAGGTCATTAATAGGCGAATGCATGTAACTTACATTGAAAAAAAAAACAAACTACGGCTGAAAGCATTTTTTTTTTTACTTTAGATTAAAAACACAATGTTCTGAAGACTGAGGACCAAGATCAACTAGCAATTTCATTGTAATAGTCGAACCTGGACTCCCTCACATCATACATTTTAAAATGAAATGGCAAGGATGTGGAACATTGCTGTATTTCTACGTGAGGGCTGACGGTGAGTTGGCTTGCGTGCTTACAAGGGGGTAACCTATGGCTTGCCAGCACTTGATGGTTTTGTCCCTAGCCTGGGTGGTGACAGAGGGTCCCTGCAGGCTGAGAAGGAGGGTGAGCAGCCTGGGGCCATGCTTCTGCAACTGTCACCATCAAGGAGGGAACAGATGGAAACCAAGCATATTCCTCCAAAGAAAGCCCAGCCTCCGCGCGCAGCCTCTGCTATGAGGGGAGCGAGGACGTTAGCCAGGCTGAAGCACTATGTTAAAACTCTAGGCTCAGGCAAAAAGTAAACAAACAAGTAAAATGCAGAATGCATGATTAGAGATGGAATAGCAGGTATCTGGTTAGTGACTCATTTCATAGCCTCCAAAATGATAACATCGTTTCTCTTTCAACAAAAGCTCACCAAGAGTAACCAACATCTCCTCTGACTGCCTTTTGCAAGTGCACAAAGTCTGTACGACAAAGTTAAAGTCAGGACAAGTCGAGTGGCCTAGCACTTTACCAAAAAGGAAAAAATAAAACTCCTGCTGTCCTCGTCAACATTCCTTTAAGAATAAAAATAAAAATAAACAATAAAAGGAAGAAAAGAAAAGAAAAAAAGAATGCTAAAGGGCCCCTTTTTATCAAACATGCTTTTAGTTTCTATGGTCAGCACAGCGCATATCTGGGGATGAATAGCAGCAGATTGTAATCCAGCAAATGTGAGCTGAGGCTGCAGCTACAGGCTAATTCTGTCCATCTGGTTAAAAGCAACCCTTCATCCTCAAGCAGAACGGAAGAGGTGCAGAAACCAAAGGGCGCCCCCTGCCTTTCGGCGGTGGTACCTCAGCACAGAGCCTCCCCTGTACGAAGAACCCCTGAACGGTCCACCTCCATTTTCTGCCTTCCGGATGGACTGACCGTCCCACTTTCCACCTTTACAGCATGCAACCTGCGACAAGACCCTGCGCTTGTCTGGGGGGAGGGGCAGGGCCAGCATTACCTGTGTTTCTAGCATGCATTAACCGCGGAGAGTTTTGTAAGGCTTTATCAACATCATCTGAAGTCAAATGTGGTAGAGGAGCTACAAAACAAAACAAACAGCAACATCAAAATGAAAAAAAAGAGAGAGGATTACCTTCCTTTAAAGAGAGAGAGAGAGAGAGAGAGAGAGAGAGAGAGAGAGAGAGAGAGAGAGAGAGAGAGAGATGGAGGAAAAAGGAAGAAAGCAAGCCATCCCCCCACACCCACCCTAATATCATGGGCCACTTGGAAGTCTCTCCATGGCTACTTGTTAGCATGTTAAAACCTAGATGGGGGCCCATATTTCATTCAGGGGCTAAGTGGTGGGGACGCCAGGCAAAGCATTGACACCAGTTTCCACCACCCCACTGTCGAGCTATCTCTACTTTCTCCTTCTGATCATGCTTGACGTTTGAAAAATGAAAGCATGCAGCAAACTTCGTGGATTCATGCCTCTCATCGCCAATGTGCCATTCCCATTCTGTCAGGTCAAGCTACCTCACGACACCAAGTGAAGACGTCCCTCATTGTGTGTTCAAGTGGGATACGAAGCGGGGCTCGGTTTAACTTTACGGAAGCTGAACCCATACTCCCCACCCAGGGGGAATCTTTCCGTAGTGTCTCTATTTCACTTGGGGCACCATGAAGATGAAATATTGTGTGACCAGATAAAGTTTCCTCTCCCTTTGATGTGTCATGTGTCAGGGGACCTTGGAGGAGGCAGCTGAATGCTAAGGTGACTGTTTGGCTTCTTGTAAAAGCACTGACTACTTCTCACCACGTGTTCACCTAAGTTGTCACCTTCTAGGTGTCTAGTCCTCTCAGATCCTGAGTGGGAAGTGGGTTAGGGCAGAAAGCGGCTGTCAGCAAACTGGACTGAACCCCCTGCAGCTGAGGGTAACGAGAACCGTCAGGACAGGGCCTTGTCCTGCGTGGGGGCCATCTTACTCTCTCTGAGGTAGTGGAGATGCGAGAGAAGGATGTCGGCGTTGTAGCTCGGGGTGAGCCTCTGGAAGTCGTCTTTGGTCATCTTGCACAGCTCCTTGCCGTCAATGTTCTGGAAGAGTAAGATGTCGACGTCGGGAAGGCCGTATTCTTTCACTGCCCACTCCAGCCACTGCCGGACGTGGTCTGTACTCCATAGCGTAGGATCTGAAAGGGGATGGAAACATATCATCAACTGACTCCTGAAGACAAATTTTGGGGCAGGGTCAGACCCCAGGTGGGACTTCCCACCAGCCCCAGCTTTCCAGAGCAGCCCTCCTGTTCCCCAGAAACACAGCCTCCAGCCAGGCCCAGTGACAGGTCAAAGGCAAAAACACCGACTGACTCACACACATGCACTGTTGTCTTTAAAGTGAACTGTGCTAGAAGTTTAGGATTATTGAACCACCGACCCCTCTGTTGCTCAGATACTCACAGCCTAAAGTTTCTGGTGGGGATAGGAAGGTATTCATTTTTTCCCCCCATTTATTTTCACTTTAATGTATTCACTTAAAAATGAATACGAATAAATGGAAAATCTCCTTAGAAAACTACTGGTAGTATCTTCATATGAAATTAACAGTCAGCAACACATATCATCAGAAAGGTGCTAATTACAAATTGCAAAGGAAAAAAAAGTATTTATACAAAACACTGAAAAATATTCATCACAGAATTGGAAAGAAAGTATAGGTAAGCCAAAACCTTCCCACTTCCTATGAGCTAGTATTTCTAGGAGAGAGCTGTCAGTTACAAGCTTTTCCGGCCGTGAACTTGGTTTTACAACTCCCACCTGCAGGAGCAGGGCTGGCGGGGTGATTCACACTACAGCTGTGGCACACAAACGCCCCACAGGATGCAGGCAATGTCATCACGCTCTGTTGCTATGCGTGGGAGGGGACCCCAATAGAGTCAGGAGGCCGGGGCCCTGGGGAGAAGGAACAGGCGCTCCCCAACGGAAATACAGGCCAGGATCACCCCACGCAAACAGTCTGGGGTGGGGGTGGGTATGCAGGGCAGGTGGGTCTCCTCCCTCAGGTCCCTGAGACCCCTGGGCAGGGAGCCGGGGCCCAGAGCTGCAACCCCAGGGCCCCTGAACTTGCTGCAACCTCCTGAGGCTGCTTCTCCTTTCTGTGTCTGTTTTACACATAAAACGAGAGCCTTGACCTCAGTCCCCGGACAGGCTCTTAGGGGTCAGGAGTGCCGGAATCATAGTGCGTGAAATCAATCATCCTTTTGAATCACTTTTTGGCTAATTGCTTTAGAACTCCGTTTGGTCTTGTTTCAGGCTACTCATGAATGAGGCAGGTCATGTGCTGTGGAATACACTTTAAGTTTACAGAAGCAAACACCAGTAACAGTGAGAAAGAGCCAGTCACACCACCAGAATGCTCTCTCCCTCCCTCCTTCCATCTCTTCCTCTCCCCCTCCCTTTCTTCCTTCTTTCCTTTGCTTTATTTTTCCTTCCCTCTTTCTGTCTCCTCCTCCTCCCCTTCTTTCATTAATTCCTTTCTCTGTTGTATCTTTTCTTAAGTTAAATTTATTGGGGTAACATTGATTAATATCATTATGTAAGTTTCAGGTGTACAATTCTATAACACGTCATCTGTGTTTTGCATTGTGTGCTCGCCACCCAGAGTCTAGTCTCCTAGTGTCACCCTTTCTTTGACCCCCTTTCCTCTCCTCCTCCTCCCGTTCCCCTTTCCTCTTGTAACTACCACACTGCTGTCTGTGTCTGTTTTGTTTGTATGTTTGCTGCTTTCTGTTTTACATCCCATATATGTGAATATGGGATGAAATCACGGGGTTCATGTTTCATATCCTTTTTAGAAGGAAATTATTTCAAACCCCACAGAACCCACATCCATCCCATGCGCCTCCGCACACTCCAGAAGTAACCACTGAAGTTGATACCTGCGTCTTGCATGTATACACATTTGAATCCTTTCACCATATCAACTATATATACAGTTTTGCATTCTTAAAGATAACATCAATGGTATCTTATTTGCTTTGGGTGCTCAGAACTGTGTTTTCAAGATGTGTGCAAGTCAATCCACATAGGTACGTTCAGCCATTGAAGCAGCTGTCGGATACCCCAGATGAATAACCCAATCTCTCATCCATGGACATCCCTGTGTCTCCCTCCCTGTGTACATGTCATGGAATCTGCATCAGCCCCAGGCTGGAACCACGGGGAGGTGGAGAAGCTACCACTGCCTGGTCTGCCCCACAGAGATCCTGATTTAATTCTGCTGGAAAGCAGCCCGGGCGTCAGGGCTGTGCAAAGCTCGCTAGGTAATTCTAAAGTGCGGCCAAGGTTCACACCATCCACCCCTGGCCTCAGGACTCAGAGTGGGCCCAGCAGCATCTACATGACCTGGGAGCTAATGAGAGATGCGCCACCCCAGGCCTGCAGAATCAGGGGCTGAACACTCACGAGCTCCTCAGGTGACCCGCATGCACACTAAACTTGGGGACGTGCTGGGCGGCCTGGGGTGCCAACCTAGATGTGGCATTTCTGGGACACCGGGCACATGCACTATCAACTTTACCAGTTATACTGGATTTCAACCACTGTTATGACCCTCACACCCTCGACCAGCACTCAGTGCACAGAATCTGGAAACTGAGGAAGACCCCGGCTGCTGCAAACACAAGAACGTCTACGAAAACTCCAACGGCAGCGTTGACAGAACGGTGTGCCTGCTCATCTCTGGTCCAAACACATGGAAACATTTTGTGAGTCTGGGAAAACTGAACGCGTACAAAGAAGGTTAACGTCGTCCAACTCATTGAAGTTCAGATGGCTCTTGGCCATTGGGTCAGGATTCCGCTTTCAGGGATAAAACGTTCAAAGCTCCAGACTGTTTCCATTGTTTGTTTTTTTCTACTTTTTCTCAGGGCATGTCATGATTCCTCATGATACAGAAATGCATCATATTGTGGTTTTAGGACATCCTCAGTTCAAGTCCTCCTCATCCTGCGTTCTGTGCAGAGGACACCGCTCAGACAGAGCCCTCCCTTCCGGGCCTCCCCAAAGTACTTCCTAGAAACTCCACCACCACACATGAGCCATACTTGGCTTCTTTTCATTTTTCTTTGTTTTGTTTTGCCTTAACAACACAGGAGGGCTCTTTTCTGGTGTAACTACTGCCTAGGAATCAGTTCCTTCTGGGAACACATTTTCTTCTCTTAATGGTGGGACCAGATAGTCTACAAATGACACATAGGCAAGTTCCTGAAAATCAGTGGTTTCCCATTAACATGGTGAAATGACATCTTAGGAAGACAGCCAACAAAAGAAGTCCAGTCTCTACCGTCCTTTGGTGTGCCTGCTAATACCTTTCCCTTGCAAAGCCCTGGGTTGTCATGGCTCATCCAATTTTCCTTTAAGTTAGGAACCATGTGCAGGACCCCAGAGACTCTCTCGACCTGTATTGTTCTTATCTCTAAGATTTCCACTTTGGTAGAACGACCTTGCTCCTGGACTGCTGGCGTGCATGTAAATTTCTTCCACCTTTCCAGGGAACAATTGGCAATACATCTCAAACTTCTTTCAAAAAAAGTATGTGCATCTTCTCTGAACTAAAAATTCCACTTCTAGAAATTTATCCTAAGGAAACATGAGAGGATGTACGTGACGATTTATTTTCAAGGTTGTTCTTTGTAGTATTGTTTATAATAGCAATACTCTGGAAACACCCTAAATGTCCAACAAAAAAGAACTAGTTGAGTTGTGGTGCATTTAGGAAAGTTCCTGCGGTATTTAGAAACTAAAACTTACGCTGCTGAATACATATATGTAGATATGAAAAAAAATGTTCAAAGTAGATTAAGTTAAAAAGTTTGAAAATGCTATTGCAGTATTAGTTATATTTTACAGAGAAATATAAATACATCCATGGAAAAATTTCTGGAAGGATATGCAACAAAATGGTAACTATTATTTCTGAGGAAAAGGCGATGGAGATTTTTTTTTACACTAAACTGTATCTTGTGTCTCTTTTTTTATATACAATAAACATAATACCTGGGTTAAAGTTATTTATAAACAATTTTATTCTCCTCTATGTTTCAAAAATCAAAGCAAGGTCTTCCAAAGCATTATATAAATGTGTTAAAGTGTTTTTATAAAATTTCCTTGTAGGGTATACAATTTTAATCTCACTTTCTTAGTTTGTTCATGGGAATTGCTTCATTTGAAACAAATAAAATTACACAAAGTCAGGTTACTCTTGTATCCTTTCAGGATTTGATCTCCGCACCTCTGCCCTGTAAGTTTATAAGCAAAGAATATTAAAAGTGAAATAAGGCCACTTGACAGAGTGAATGAGGACATTCCTTTCCCACCTGTGCAGGGGGCACCATTGCTCTGGACCACCTCTACAGGTGTTGGAAGAAAGAACAGTTTACAGCGAACAAGCCAAACTGCTCAGCATTGAGCACAGGGCCCTGAGTTTGCTGGGCCCCGCTGTCTTGCTAGGGGTTGTTCCCAACCATGCCCCCACCCCTTCATCCCACACCCACACCCACACCCAGCCAGCTGCCATCTGCTGAACAACAGCCCACGCCTGTGCCCACACACCAGCCACTGCTTAGAGGACCAGCCCCTCTCATATCATCACCCACAATGACCACCTCCTTGGGGCATCTGTCCTCAGTGGTCTCGAGGTGTAAGCACTTACAATGGATCTCTGGACAGGGAAACGATAACAAGATTGGAGGCCCAGGTCCTGCCCCAATGACAATGAACTCCACCCCAGCTACCTGGGCCAGGCAGGGATGTGGCAGCTACGGAGTCTTTCAGCGTTCAGGTCCGTGTGTTGGGTCCCGGCTCACCTTTCAACTCCATAGAGAGCCCAGTAGAGTCTCCTGGTCTCCTCCATGGCCCCTGACATGTAGCAAAGCTTTCCTGCTTCTGTCCCAGCTTGTCATCACAGAAGGGAGCTCACAAGGGCCCCCGAGATTCCACATGCCTCGCCTTGTCCCGACCTACAGCTATGCACATGAAGGAGAAAGGGGCCGGGGAGCAGGGGGAGCCCCAGCTGAGGTGTCACCTTTGCCTCCATCCAAGTGTGGCAACCACACCTTCTGTCTCCAGATAGGTGTGCCAATTGGAACCTGTCACCTAACCTTGTGACTGAGCCTGGTTTTCCTCAATGTAG